AAAACGATGCGGGATGAAATTACCATTTCTATCAAAATCCTCAGACGGGCAAGATCCAAGATTAAATTTGATTGCATGGGGGAATGTCGAAAAAGGCAAGGGAGGCCGGGATGGCCACTTGCTGGCTTAGAGGCCTCTGTCAGCCAGCAGTGTCCGACCCCCTCCTGTTTCAATGCTAGTCGTTATGCGCGTGCCTGTGAGGCTTCTAAGTTGAGCCATAAAGTTCAACGGCTGCGCGTGTCCCAAGACTTGCTTGATGAATGTTCTTTCAACAGTCAAACCGGTCTGGCTGTGCTAGCCGAGATATATGCTTTCACAATTTCACATGCATTCGGGAAGAGTTAAAGTAGTGGGAGAATGTCATTCAAAAAAGTAGTCCAACTGAGGAAAAAATAAGAGTGCTTAGTTGTTACTTAGAGTGCGATTCTAGAGTAATCAATAATAGGACCCAAATTTAAAGATTATTGCTAAAGCTCCGAGGCAATCAGTGACTACGACGTCCGCCTATTTCGCCAGCGGGACCTGATGGTCTTTTAAATAACAGCGATTTTTATCTACATACGTGCGACGATGAAAAGAAAGTGACGCAAGAATCTGCTTTGTTGAAATAATTCATCCTGGACGGGGCACAATCGGACAAGTCATGGATTGGAGCCTAGACGCAATTTGGAGTTGAAGGGACAGCAAAAACTTTACTGTTGCCCAGCGGACTGTTGGGCATATTATACATGCTATAGGCAGAAAAGCATTGCCCGCAAAGACAAGGGAGACTGGAATGCCCATTTGTGGCCTATCAGCCATCGTCAGCCAGCTATACCCAACCCCGAAATATGGAGCACTTGGAACTCGATCTCGCGACCTGTTAGTTAGAAGTGCAACGCGTCTAACCACTGAGCCACGGGCTCGTTGTCATACATGCATATATTATTGGGGTATGTGGTCTGAAGCTTCATTTCAACGCATGCAAGCCCCAATGGTGTTGTTTCAGAGAAAGTGACACTCGTACTGCTGCCTTCGTATGCTGTGACCTTTGTAGCAGGCAGTTGTTCGGCATCTGAGGTCCTTGGACGTCCTCGATAACCATTATCGATGAATCGCAACTTTGCTAGAAAGGTCGTCATATTATCATGGACGAAATAAACGAGATGATTTTGAGGCAAGATGTGGTTATGTAACTCCGTCTGATGGACACAGTATTGTTGTACTTGGGTTAAGGGGTTAAGATTAGGGGTTATGGTTCGGGGTTATGAAGTCAAAGCCGGCTTGGCGACCAAAGGATCTACAATAGGTGGACTAACTCATGAAATGTCAGCCGAAATTCCGAAATGAGTTTTCGTTTCGAAAATATTAATTAAGTAGGGTTGCAAGACCAATCACCGTGCCGAATAATTCTGTCATGATTCAGTTGCCTGAGGATACCAGCTTTGAACGAACTTCTTTTCGGTTGTATGCAAAAACCATACTTTGTAAAACATGACCCCTTATGTAGCGTGCATTTTCTCATCGATTTTCGGCGCTCTTAGAACGTCAATTATATTTCATGGAAAACATAGGCAAGAAGGGCAGGATTTATTGGTACCAAAAAATTTCGCGACGGCTCTTCAGCTGCGTCCTGTCGCTTCATAGGAGATATAACGAGTGAGAAGAATAAAACAGATGCATCAGAAACCCGTCTGCCACCGGAAACACTACAAGACGCATTAAAATTGTGCACAAAGAACGTTCAATTTCTCTTTAATAGTCAATTATATAGACAAATTGACACCTAAAAGAAGCTCTACTTAAGCGAGGATATCCCGCACGGATCATCCACAAATGCAGCAACCCCACACGGCCAAAATTGACAGAGCATTTAGCTCCGAAAAAGCCCGTCTTTATATCTTTGCCCTTTAAAGGCGACAATATTTTAAATACTATCAAACGACGGCTACGTTCCGCCATTGAAAGGACATACAATGCATCCGAACTAGTATTATGCAGTCCTACTAAGCCACTTCCGATTCCACGAGCAAAGGATGCCTTGCCAATGCACGCCACTTCAAATTGTGTTTATGAATTCACATGCACTTGCGGATGCAAGTACATTGGGTGAACGCAAAGGCAGTTGGCAGCCAGGTCTATTGAGCACCTGCCCAAATGGCTCCTAAGACAAGAAAATAAAATCCCGCGTTCCTCCATTACGAAACACCTACTTGATAGTGGTCACTCCGTCGACCCCAAAACTTCCTTCCGAGTACTTGTTCGGGCACGAAAAACTCGGACATTGCGTTACCTGGAGGCGGCCTATATACGACGAGTGAAACCGGATCTTTGTAAACAACTGGAACACATGGTTAACCTAACATTGCCATGGTAGCCTCTAGCTCCATGATTTACCCTTCTCCTCTCATAATTTGCTCTTTAACGTTCCTTTTTTCACTTTCTTCCCCTACGGTGTTTTTCTTACTAACTTAACCGATTAGCCAGCTTTGCCCAAAATCCTAACCTTGCTGTTTCTGCATTGATTTTCTGCACGAATTCAAATCTGTTGTATTCTTCTCACTCGTTATCTCTCTTATGAAGCGACAGGACGCAGCTGAAGAGCCGTCGCGAAATTTTTTGGTACCAATAAATCCTGCCCTTCTTGCCTACTTCAGCTTCGTGCCGGGGACAAAATACTTCAAATAGAAAACATCCATAGAACATTCACTCTTTTGCTCATTTGGTAGAAAAGTACGTGTTCTCTAAATGTAATACTTGAAGGAAGGGTATAATTCAGTTATCAAAAAAATTCCCAATTTATGAATAATTTTGAGCCCGACCTGCCGTCGAACTTGCATTCAAGGCTTTCAATCCGCAAGCTCTATGTTTTCCGTGTACGTAAAACAATACATTTCTCTGAGGTATTAAGAGGAGACTATGAGTGGTTCATAAAATTTAGCAGTAGATTTGAGCAATGTCGTTAAAGTTAAAAGCCACATTGGCCAATGCAAAGACTTGGCGTTTTATGAACAGCCATTTCCCGGTATTAAAAAATCTCACAATAAGAAACTTTTGTAAAACCGAATTATACCCTTCCTTCGGGTATAAAATTGGAATAAGACGTAATTTTCTACCAAATGAGCAAAAGGATAAATATTGTTATGCATGTTTTCCATGAAATATAATTGAATTTTTAAGGGCATCGAAAATCAATTAGAAAAATGCATATTAAATTAGTAGTTATTTTTACAAAGTATGGTTTTTACGTGCAGCCGAAAAGAAGTCGGTTTGGAAAGCCGGCATTCCAAGGTAACTAAATTATTATAGAATTACGCTGCATGATGATTAGTCTTACAGCGCTACTTAAATAATATTTTCGAAGCAAAAACGCATTTTGGAATTTCGGTTGACATTTCATGAATTAGATCACCTACTTTATGAATGCTAGTAGCTTGAGGTTCCGGTCATGCAGGCCTTTTTATTAGTTAATTTGGGTTTCATTCCATTTTGCTAATTAAAAAGCATGTTTCTCGTCGTGCGGAAGACTCTGGTGTTGGGACCCGTCCGCCGCCTCCTCAGATCACTTGGTGTTGGAGTTGCACACATATCGGAGACAACCATCCGGCGTCAGATAATGAGACCCGAAGACCCGCCGTCACGGCAAGGAACGTCTGGGGTCGTCTATCGGATCTGGTGTCGTTTGCGGACAGAGCGACTCTATCGGAAAAACCGGATGACTACTGCGAATGCGAATGACTGAACATACGGCAACAGTGACGAAACATGACACCAGATCTCAAGTGGCGGCTCATGCGACGAGGCCGAAATTCTCGTTAGAGATGACAGCTATATGATTCGTGAGTTGTTTAAGTCATAGTTCATGAACCTCCAGTCTATTTACAAGTGAAATGACCTTCCCCTTCCATATACAGTGCTGAGGAAGTCTTCGCGGAATAATTAGCCACGAGGGGAACGCACAGGTGAGCACTAGTCCCAACATCAGGGTCGGTGGATCAGATGGTCAAGCAATCATCACACCAACATCCAACACACGTGATTAATTTGCAGCAATTGAAGACGCGAATGTCGGTCGTCAAACAGTCGTCACACGACGAGCAACGATCCCTGATGAAGAGGGAGCCGTGAATTTTCATAGGTACGCGTTGGAATGGCGACTGCATCCTACAAATACTACAACTCATTGTGCATGAACTAACGGTATCTGGTGTTGTTTTTGGTGATATTTTCGGGCAGAAATCCGAAACATGTGAGGCATAAAGTTCTAAGTCCAGTGATCGTATCGCCCTCACAATTGCTTCTAGAAACTCGGATCGTCAAATGCGTCAGTTTTTACCATATTGACGATTACGCTAATTTGCCAGGGGATTAGGCTCCCAGATTTTCGCCTCAGCATTAGAGTGTTCAGATGGTATATCGGAATTACTGCCTGGCGAATGTTGGTTACAATCCAATGAGGATTATATATGCTGTCCGGTACAGTCCTGAGGGTCCAAACTGATTGGTTGGAGGGCTAGCTCGGGGTGCCCACTCTGGCATCGTCCATGAAGTACAGAAAATCACCCCTCGTCTTATGCAGTTACTGTTTCATACACTGTGACTAAACAGGGTTTTCGGGCGACTATGCGGATACGGTTTCTGTGCCGTTGCCAAGGTTTCTGGGGCGACGATAGCAACGACTATAGCAAACATTTTGAGGAATAGCTTTTTCAAAACAATTATTGATACAGCCAAACGTTCTTTTTACAAGTAACGCTAAGACACGCTTTATATGAACACGGTTACTAAAATGTAGGGATAACAATATAACGCAAACCTTAATGCATTCGGAGCATTTAAACTGAATGTAAAACGGACAAAATCACATCAATGATGCTTACTGAAACCATTAAGAAACACTGTCTTCGTCATGTAGTTATCCGTCGCACAGGTTTGCAATGAATCAGCTGGAAGAAAGTGTGAAAAACCCTGATTACTTCTTAAATGGTAGAATGCGCAATAAACTTTCTACATAACAGTAAATGTCACAAATTGATACGAAGATCAACAACCTAGGAATGACTGCTAATGAAGAGGAGGATGAGGGAGACCTACCTGCCCTAAAAATCTGGCGTAAGATCATTGGTGCCGCGAATTGTCGCGACAGCCAATGAGAATGGGGTCAACACAGACCGCGACAAATTTCGGGTCTGTTTGGCATCCACAGTTCGCCCTGCAGACCCAGGCGCCAGACACAGTTGGCATGCAACCCAAGTGCTTTATCGTGAAAGCTACGCAGAGGTCTGTTCACACGCTTACAACGGACAGTTGAAATCACTACTTGAGACGTCCCAACACTCCTACAACACGTTTTTGACAGTCACTCCACTGGTTATGCTTTTCTGAAAGCGCATTTCCATTGCTATTGAAGTAGTTGGTGCTTAATACGGTGAGGCATCATCACAAGTTTTCAAGTGGAGAACCGATGGTGTCAACTGCGGGACACAGTCCAGTCGACGGCGCTCGCCGTCCTCGGTCGCGCTCCCCGCCAACACCAGGACTGGTTCGACGACAACGACGCCGCCATCAGAAATCTGCTTGCTGAGAAGAACCGCCTACACAAAGCCTATGTCGATCACCCCACTGACGACAACAAAGCTGCTTTCTACCGCAGTCGCCGCCACCTCCAGCAACGACTGCGCGAGATGCAGGACGCCTGGACTGCTCGCAAAGCTGAGGAGATCCAAGGGTACGCGGACCGCAACGAGTGGAAGGACTTCTTCTCCGCGGTTAAAGCTGTCTACGGTCCGCCGACGAAGGGCACTGCTCCTCTCCTCAGTGCCGACGGCAACACTCTCCTGACTGAGAAGACACAAGTCCTACAGCGATGGGCCGAGCACTTCCGAGGCGTCCTCAACCGCTCCCCCCACCATCTCCGACGCCGCCATGGCCCGTTTGCTGCAAGTGGAGACCGACGTGGACATCGACCTCCCACCCTCTCTCCAGGAAACCGTGAGGGCCGTGCAGCAGCTCTCCTACGGGGAAGCGTCCGGATAGGACGCGATCCCTGCTGAGGTCTACAAGCACAGTGGTCCCCAACTCATGGATCACCTGACTGCGCTCTTCCAGGAGATGTGGCGTCACGGTGAAGTCCCACAGGATTTCAAAGACGCAACAATCGTGCTTCTGTACAAGCGGAAAGGAAACAGCCAACTCTGCGACAATCACCGAGGCATCTCCTTGCTGAACATCGCCGGGAAGATCGTCGCTCGCATTCTCCTCAACCGCCTGAATAATCACCTAGAACAGGGCCTTCTACCGGAACGCCAATGCGGCTTCCGCCGTCATCGCGGGACCACAGATATGATCTTTGTCGCCCGTCAACTTCAGGAGAAGTGCCAGGAGATGTGGACCCACCTGTCACTGCCTTATACAGTGAGGCATCATCACAAGTTCTCAAGTATATCCTGAATGAGGTTGAAATATAGGGCTGAATCAACATACTGGTCTTTCGAGCTTTGAAGAGGACGTATTCAGAGAGGGCGGTATAGGGGCCGGTTTTAAGCCATAAACAAGAAAATCAGCACAAAAAGCTGGAAATGGGAGGGGAGCAAGAGGATAAACCAGCATCAGCACCACTTACGCGCGTAGCAGACAAATTCATCGTACTCGAAGGATCCTGTCGTTTGGAATTCTGAAAATTTTTGACAGACGCTGTTGCAAAGCCGAAGATTACTGGCCCAGTAGAAGCGACTTAACCATGTGGAAGGGGGAAGGAAAGGTTACTGTTTTCTTGTGTGGTAAATTTGTCCAGCAATATTTCGAGAGGAAATAAACCAAATAATGACAGATATCGCTTTGGCCATTGTCGTTAACATAAGAAGGATTCAAATTCTACTCGAGTATAACCTGAGTTGTGAGTTTGATTCTCTGGTACGACTATTGACATGGCATACAGCATAGAGGTTAAAAAAACATCGGTACTACTTAGGGACTGAGGAGCGATTAGTAGCATGTAACACAGCCTTTCCCCGACGAATGTTGTCACCTGGCGGTGGCGCTTCATCCTTCTGATCACAGAAGGCAAGTATTTATTTTCTGTAACCTCGAAGTTTCAGTCAATTGCCCTCGCAGATTGTTTCGTGTTGACCAGCAATGTTGCCGATGGTGGCCGATGGAGGGCTGACTCTGTCAAGAAAGTGCTTGGTTTATAGCCAAACCGAATTCGCATTTAGATCTCAAGTTTTCCTGATCTAGGGTTTAAGTACAGCTAGCCACTGACAGCAAATGAGGTTGAAGCGGCCTTTCAGCTGTTTTCCATAAATTTTGACGCGGTTCAGAGCATTCGGTCGTGTATGCGCTGAAAGAAGCAGACATATAGGCAATGGACGATTGGAGACGTGAAAAGGTGCTCCCCTAAACTTTCTTCCTTTCGAGCGTTCGCTTATTTGACCTAAGTTGGCACGTCGAAGCCCCGATCGGGAATGGTTCCGCAAACGCTTTTACGTGGCCGGACGGATGACTAATCGTGTATGATAGTGAGGAATATGGGCAGAAAGAGAGTTGACCTCACTCGCTCTTCCCTCTCCCAGACACCAGTCCACTCTGTACGAGCCGGTCAGTTGTCTGATGCACGAATTGGACGAAGCCGTTGGCAGGGCTAGAGGGCCCATCTACACACGCTCGTCCTGTCTCCTCACACACCGAACCGGAGTCTGACACAAACTGGGGCCGGCAAGCTAACCACATAGGCAATCTGCGATAGCCAAACTGCGGTGACTAACGCTTTAGGCCTCTTCACGTATCCGCAACAATCCTCAATCACCAACATGCGGCGCTACTTTTTTCAAAGATGACAAACAGGTCACTATGCGCCCTTTACCAAGTAGGTGATCTCATTGAGTTTTTCCATCCCTTTTTTTGGCGTTTTTTACACAGTAGGAAAAGACTGACTTGTCACTACCCCTGAACTGGTGCCCCCGCCGCCTCGTTCTTAGTGATTTGGTGATGAAACGCTTGCATATTTGCATTCTACCTATAAATATCGCTGTCCGGCTTGCCATGCATATGGCGGCATTAAGGGCTTTAAGACCTGACCTACAGTCATCAATCCATTATGTGTTGGCAAGCCTTTAGCTAAGGTACCACCATCCTCTCTTTGGATTGCTATCCTTATAAATTTTTGATTACAGTAGTGGCTTTACTGGCGGGGTTCATGTTAATTTGCAATCATATCGATGGCGAAAAGGCCTGCTCAGTCGCCGCATATATGACAAATGACAGGATGTGTTAAGATCATTGTTGATTCTTGATCGCTGTCTGGACAAATTACATCTAACTGGTGCGCAGCTTTCGAAGTAAAATGTCGCCGTCATTCCCATAGGTGAAATCCATAATTCACGTTTCCGTAAGATTCGCGCCGCTGATTGCCACCGTTTCATCCTCTACACCTAGATGAACCCAACTTCAGATCATCAGTTAGACACGAGAATAGGGATGTCCTGAACTGTATTGCTATAGATTATCCACTTATTTGATTGATGTAGGCACACAGGACCACCTATCGGTGGTGCCTCCGCGAACGCCTTCACGTGACAGAATGGATGATTAATAGAAGACCTACTAAAGGCAAGGTAATCGTCGGAAAGCGTAAGATAGGGCGCCAGCAGAAACTGCTGGTCTCACCATCTGTGGCCTGAAGCTGCTAACCGAAATACTGGTAGGAAATAAGGAGAAGGACGAATGTCTGCGACACTGACGACGGCGCGGGAGTGAAGACAGCGGACGCCTTCCCACCGCCTGGCAGAAAACCAACGCTGTGCTGAGAAACTCCCTGACACCCACGGTATATCTGCAGAAAAGTAACTAAGTTCTTCGATGTCCGTTCTAACAGCGGTGCAGGGTCGTGCTAAACATGCATTAACTCACAACGCCGGTCTTGGGGATCAAGTGGTCGGGACTAATGCAATGGACAAAAATCTACCTTAAGGGCAAAGTAAGCATTTCCAGATTTTGTCAGCACCAGCTGACGGTCTACAGCCTACGGCCGACAATTTTAAGAGAGAACATGGGACGTTTTCCGGGGTCTTGTCGGCGACTAAAATGAGACCGACTGTAGACTACCAAGCTCCTCGGAAACCTTACCAAGGACACGAGTAAAAGTAGCAGGAATCAACTCGGCCGACTGCATGTCAATCAGACAGCGTACGAAGAAGGCGCCGTTATCAGAAACATGCCTCGGAGACAACTGATAATACATATCAACATACTTATGTCAATATAGTAGGCATTCTGAAGGGATATAGTTCGGAGGGGGTACTTATTCCCATGCTCCGCAAAAATCACTTTCAAGAGAACCGGGCGGGGTGGTTTTGGAAAATCAACTAACTCGATGATATGGCAGTTTTCATTTATTGAAAATTCTCTGATTAAGAGAAGTCAACTCACCTCTACGCAACGCCCGCTTACGGCGTGATTCAAGGAAATATGAAATATGATTCTGTCAGTTAATAACTTTAAAAACTGCCATTTTACATCCACAGTACTCCAAAATCAGAAACTATTTGCTACGAAAAGAACAGTACGGTTAACTGAAGATGGAAAATAAGCACAAAAGAGTCAGTCCAGTCAATTAATCGAAATGACTTTTGATAAATATGTAAGCGCAAAAGACCAAACGCCAACAATTCACCAGAAAAAAGGTACATTTTTTCCGAAAAAATTTTAATCGTCGACGTTACTGGCTCAAACATTAATCGATTCTTAAAAAGTTAAAACGAAATTCTAAGTGTCTTTACCTACCCCATATTTGAAAAAGCTGCAGATGAGATTTTTACCTAAAGTGATAAGGCTTTAACCAATGTGGTCATGAGCTTTTTATTTTTGGTTTTTGGGGTTTGATGGAGGAATTCAATTATAAAATTTTTTTAATCAAAGCACGTAAGTACTCGCATCCCTTCGGTATGGGTTTCGTCTTAAATAAACCTAATAAATTCAAAAATACCTTTTCTTAATGACAAATACATTAGGGCAAGTTGGTACTTTGTCTTACGGCAAATTAAAATCAGCATTTTGCAGAATTCCACAAGAAAGTCGACAGGGCAAATAGGAAAGTGTGGTAGCCTGTATACAAACTTCAGTCGCACGTAACCCTTGATTTGCTGAAGCGCCAATTTAAGTTCCAGGGCCTTTCCTTAAATGTGGTTCAAGTTATTGCTGCGCAACAACTTTGTTGTTTCCGTAGAGCTGGGAATTTCAAACTACCAGTTCAAAACACAGAGCATTTTGAGTCCAGAGAAAAGGTGGAATGAAAATGAAGGGGAGGAAAGTTGTCAGACACTGAAGTTCGGTAACAAAGGCGTGGAGTGTTGAATTATAGGAACAGGCGAAAGTAGTGATGGGAAACAAGTGAAAATACGGGATAGGCGATAATACAAGAACTAGGGGAAAGGCGAGAAGGTGGACGAGATGAGAAAGCTTTCGAGAGGAGAAGAAGTAGGAGCAAAGAAAGCTAGTAAGGAGTAAGAGGTGTACATTTGAAGAAAGCAAAGCTGCGAAACAGAACCACTTTGGACAAGTATGGTAACCTAACCACAGTCAAGTCAGAGCAACTGAAAAAAAACGATAGCAAATAACTGGACAGATTCATAAACAAAATGCTAAAGACGCAGGGCCTTAAAGCAGTTTTGAGCAGTAGTAAAATGACAGCGGAGGAGGAGGTCTGACCAGCATACTGGAGGGCCTCCAGAGAGAAGTCAGTGCAGCCATTTGAGGGAGCAGTGATCTACACAGAACTCACTTCTCCGTCCCCGTATCCACTGGCAGTCGTGGACCTGTTCGCCAAGCCGGAGTTGGAAAAAATGGCTGATTCTCCGTCTCTGAGCACTCCTTGCTTGCGAGCTTCCATGCTAACGACTTCCGCGATTCAACAGGACTTATAAAGTCGTAATCCGGCCAGTTTAGTATCTAAACAGGGATGCGAGTGGGTGATGGAGAGAAAAGGGTGCAGTTGCGCAAAGTCTTCCAACTCGTCCAATAGTCCAGCATCAACAAAAGGAGTAAATCCCTACCGACAGGAGAATTGGGGGTGCAGTTCGGTGCGAAGACTCATTTGCATCATTTTAACACGATGCTTAGTATGAAGCTGACTGGACTTATCCACCCACGGTTCCTGAGTTTGGGGCGGGGGAGAGGGAAGTGGAGAGCTGGCGCAGACTGTAAAACTGCCATTCATTGCGGTATTCAGATGCCAATCCAATCTCTAAGTAGCACCAGTCTCTACACGGACCCACGACTAGGAACTCAGATGGCATGCTTGGTACCAGATGACAATGATGTTGGAATCTTGCTATTGGCAGATAATTATCATAACTTCGAGGTAAAATTTGAAGCTTCCCTCGGGCTACATGCATAGGGAGACTAAGAGCTGTGCAGGCAACAGAAATCTGCATCCTAAGTCACTTTATAATTCA